CTCGGATAATTTAGAAATAGTGTAGGATTTTTGATGTAAAATTGTCTTCTATATTTTATGAGTGAATTTTGGAAAGTGTTGAAGATGGTTTTATTCATTCCTCCCAATAAATTTTAGGAGTTGAAAAACTACATAGTTTTAGAAAAAAAAATTAGAACTTTTAGAGATGTTCTAGATATGAATACTCTATCTCATAACATAACCATGAAAACACCCGTCTCTGCACGGAGCGATCGATCACCGACTCCTAATCAATCATTCATTTAGCCACAGCAACAAACGCTCATGCACCGATGCACGAACGTACCTGGCCCCACGGGGCCACGGGTGTGACGCCATACACGTGGCCGTGATGCTCTAGCTTGACCGCGCCCTTAATTCGTGGCACAAGATAAGATCTCAATTGTGATAACATGCCTCCCTCTACCTTAAGCCTCAGTCCGCTGGTTAGTTTCTGGCTGATAAACTCGACTGGTACTGATTTACTGTAAGAGAAAAATACTGTACCATAACTGATAAATCTTAACTAAAATCAACGAGCGAACAGGTTTAGAGTCGACATAGAGGTGGTGTGGGCCCTCCTTTGTTCCTGATGATCGGCAGGTGGGCCCGGCTACTTGGCATGCAATTGGGAGTACCGAGTACCACTCAGTACGGCTGCACCGCTGGCTAGTACTAGACGAGACGACGACCTCGCTTCGCTTATCCGGATGACCGGATCACAGGGCGCGTTTAGTTCGGCTGCAAACTTTGTACAGTGCACGATTTTCCAATATAGTCTTTCATTTGTATTTGTGAATTATTGTCCAAACATTGACTAATTAGGTTCAAAAAATTCGTCTCACAAAGTTAAAGCAAACTGTGCAATTAATTTTTTATTTCGTCTATATTTAGTACTTCATGCATGTACGTAAGTTTGATGTGACGGTAATTTTTTTTTTTTTGCATAGTGCACTTTTATAGAACTAGTAAAAAGGCTGTACAGTCACAGGGGCCAGGGCAGCGAGACCGCGACCTGATCTGACGTCTGCTGTGCTGGGCCCGACGCGTCCGGGCAGCGTTGGGCGGGCCAGTTGGAGAGCGCCAGCGTGCCATCTGCCACGATGTCGGCGACCGGCCGCGCTCAAAGCGTCTAGGACCCAAGCGGACGGTGTTGCTGTCGCAGCTCGATTTTTCCTTTTTCCGCGTGTTGTTGACAAAAAAACGCGTGTGGGTTGGTGGCCCGCACGATCTAACCGTACGGGGTCAATTAAGCGCTTTCATAACTGCATTCTGAGATAGCATAATTACAAGACGGGTTTTTCTTTGCAAATTAATTACAAGCTCAAAATGGCGGACAACGGATGGACAATGGTTGCTGGAGGTACATATATTTTTTTTCCCGAGAGAGATGGGATTTTATTAATCTGAGATAGCATAATTACAAGTCTTTCAAAGTCTTCCAACTTTATTCTAGAGCCCCCAACTGTAATTCTTCATTTTCTAATCAATGGCCGACAACGATTATCTAGTTTCAATATGTCCAAACTTAGAAACACTAATGACTTGTTGAAGCATCACCTCCCAATCATCCGCAACAACACACTCCGACCTTTGAAAGCGTCGCACAATCCAACATGGGGTTGCATATATCTATCTATATACTAATATACACAAAAATTTTCTTGTTACTTCTTGAATTGGCCATTTTGTCAAACGTCCTGCCAATCATGTTTTGGGTAGCACTCACATTGGGCTACAGACACATTTATATAGGCATACTTGAGAATCTGAGGACTACACACGATATATAGTAGTGTTTGAAAAATAGGGCAAATGCTGCGGGTAATGTTGAATTTGAAGTTTCAACATGGTAATCTTCCCTAATGAAAAAAATGCTTTCGTTTCTATAAAATTGTCGCTTTTTCCATAAATATAAGTGATTCCATTTAAGATAGATTAAGGGTGATTGTGAAATACTCACATATATGCCCCTAACCAAAACCACGTCTAACCAAACTTATTTGCCTTTTCAAAAGAACTGATTAGTGGATTATTTTGAGGATGCCTATTGGGCTACAAGAAACATATTAGCGCCGTAATTTTGGAGTCTTGATATGCATATCTTTTCCTAATACTATTAAAGAAAAAGGGGTTTCTTTGTCCATTCCAAAACTTCGTACATAGCTCACGCCATCCTCACTTACGTGAATGATAGCCAATCATAGGCAAGTGTGTGTCGCCTCCAGAGTCCATGTCTAAAACCAATTCCAAATGTAGAGAAAAAGTATAAATATCCAAAATCATAGGCACAAAAACAACTTATCATAAATTCGAAGAGGAAAAATATACAAAAAACCAAAATCAGAGGCACAAAAGTACACGAAGACATAGATTCATAATTTTTTGAAAAAAACAACACAGGTCACACCTAGATGCAGGAAATTTCCGAATCGTGTCCACTACAAACCAATTAGAGTGGGTGCAAGAGGAGTAAACCAAGAATAATTCGAGATGACCACAGATGAAATCAAACCACATGAACTTGCCGCCTTGGTTCTGACTCTCAATAACACGGTCACCGAAGCTTGACCCATCGTGACACTTGCCCAAGCCACCATCCTAACGTGTCGCCCGCCCGAGCCTTCGGCCTATCACATTGCCCGACTATCCGCCAAAAGGGTATAAATCCTACAAACTCAAAATAAAAAAAATACATTATGCCATCAAATTGATAGATTCTAATGATAATTGATCTATATTTGATTTATTGTAGTTTCTAAAAAGTCTACCATCCCAACCATCATTAAAAAACATGAAAAATAACCTAAATGAAACCCTGTAAGTCTTCATCCAAAATATAAAATATATCATCACAAAATCAAATACAAACTAACCCTCTAAATATACATCTGATTACAAACATATGCTATTATCAAACAATCCACTTATACCACTGTTAATATAGGGAAAAAACTAACTCAAGAGCTAAGGTGTTCGTGCATATCGATTTCCTTATTAAATGCACAGGTGAAGCTAAATTTCTAATAAAAAACATGTTAAACATAAATGTAGGTGCAATGCAAAGAAAAGAAAACTATGAATAGGATGGAAAAACGTATAATAAGTTAATTTGTATAAAAAATGTACCTAATGGACAAAATTTACAGGATGTCGACATTGGTAACATTAACATGTGCGATAGAGCGAAGATAAGAAATTTTGACGAGCTCTAAATTTATCTTGGACCTTGTTAATATACTCGTATGCCTTAAATTACTAACCGAACCTAAAATGAACACGTACGCAGCCACGCAGGACACCGTCCAAGATATTTGTTTGCCGATTGGCCATCTAGCTTACCAATCTCTTTCAGCTCTCCCTATCCATTCGGCGATTGGCCATCTAGCCAAAGTGACAGTGTGACACACAGAAAGCGTACAGGGAACCGTGGCACGCCACGTAAAGAATGTTACGCGTCTCGTCCGCATCCCACACTGCCCCTTCCCGAAGCCAACAGCCGACTCCAATTCTCCCCCGCGAAGAAGGAAAGAGAAAATTTGTTCATTGTGGGTGCGGCTTTGCCGCGCCTTTCCTTTTGATTAGGCTAATGACAATAAGAATATAGGTGTAGTGATGAAAAACTCAACAATTTTTTTTCATTTTATGATTTTTATGTATTTTCGAGACTTTATTATCATGAAGGTATAATTTTATTTGCCCCTAGAAAGCATAGGTAAAAGTTTGTATGAAAAATCGTTACTAAAACATTTGATATTACGGATGCATTGCATAATTCTACTCGTTAGGATTTCAGATCAATTTTCTAAGACTCCTGGAGACGCACGGAAATTCCTGTTGGCTTGGCTTCTGATCCGTTGGTAAACTGAAGGCCAATACGTGTTGCTTTCAGTACCTTATTATATTATATATAGAGTTGTGCAACCGACGTAATTTTGGACACTTGTTCTTATTATTATTCACCACTGTAGCTAGTAGATAGGAGTTGCTAGATTTTTCTACCAAGCAGTAGCTTTCGCTAGGCACTTGTTTCGCTTGCATGCAGTACGTGGAGGACTCGGGTCACGGGTGGCTGGAATCTAGATGCGTCGGTACGATGCAATTTTAAAGTTTCGGCTAATTTATATTTTGAAAAAAAAGATATAATCAAAGGTGGTCTGTATTTTGATTTGAGAAAAAACTGAGGAGGTTTTCGCAAAAATTGTTGAGAGTGTCTTGGAGCGCGGGTTGATTTTCAATAAAGTGGAGGTCTTTTTTGCAAAAAAAACCAGAGCCCATCCGTTCTGGACCGCGGGTTGATTTGAAAATAATCTGAGGTGTTTTTTTACAAAATATTCTGAGAGGGCCTCTGGAGCATGGGTTCATTTACAAAAAATAGAAGGGTTTTTTCGTAAAATGACCGCGGATCGCCTGATCTGAGCCGTCCGCGCGCCCGATCGAACGGCCGTGAAAACCCCGCGACGTGGCACGCTGGCTGGCCACGGTTTGGGCGTAGGTTTCATATATAAAAGATACTCATTTGGTACGTGCCATTGAAAATTACAATATTTCTTCGTTGCCGTTAGTTTATAATTTTTTTCACCACAGGTTTATAATTTTGCCATAAAATAATGTTTTTCTCTTACAACAAATCAATCATGTAAATCAGCCACGACAGCGATAAGTCCTACCAATCTCCGTGCACACACCGTTAAAACCTGTAGCTGGTTCGTCTCACACGGCTCGTGCGTTCCCTGCGCGCTCATGCCACCGAGAGCTCGGGGAAGGCGAGGCAGGCAAGGCGATATAAACCAATGGCAACGAAGAAATATTGTAATTTTCAATAGCACATACCAAATGAGTATAGATTCCAATGGCAATGAATAAATTTTAGGAAATTGCTTACCCATCGGCCGCAGAAGATCCGGCAGTCCGGGCCGTATAAAGCTACGCGCCCCCGTCCTCCTCACCAGAGGAGGCAAGGAGCCCACCAGGTCCTGGTTCACCACACCGCAGCGGCAATGGCGACGCGCCGGCAGCACCGCCGCGGCTTCCCGCTGGTCCCGCTCCTGCTCTCCCTCCTGGCGGCCGCCGCGTACGGCCGCCTCATCTCCGACGGCGCCCCGTCCGCGCCGCTCCTCTCGTTGATCCGCCTCTCGGGCTCCCCGCCGGCCGCGGCCGCGGGAGCGGCGGCGGCCGAGGAGAAGTGCGAGCAGTCCTACGGCTTCCTCCCCTGCACCACCACCGTGCTCGGGAACCTCTTCCTGGTGCTGACCTACGGGTTCCTCATGTACAAGGCGGCCACGTACCTGTCGACGGGGAGCGAGCTGCTGCTCGAGATCATGGGGCCCGGCCTCATCGGCGGCCTCCTCCTCCCCATCCTTGGCGCCCTCCCCGACGCGCTCCTCGTCCTCGGTTCGCTCTCCTCCTCGCCTTCCTTCGCTTCGCTTCCTTCGTTGCTCGCCGCCTCATTCTGTGCTTTGCTTTGATGATTCGCCAAGCATTCGGTTGCCTGCTCCTAGCTAGTTCATGGCCCGAGTCTAGCGTTAGTTTCCACCGAGCTTGCTTTGTTCGCACTTCAACTTAGAAAGGATCGTTGAACTGCTCTTGCGATTGGCAGCGCAAAAGTAATCGTAGTGATGGAATTCAAAACATCCTTTTGCTTTCATTTTTTAACGCCTTTTCTGTTGCTCCTATTTGTTTTGCTCCAGATCTGATGTTTCTAGCAGTCTAATTTGCTTTGTTACTGGATGTCTGGATCAGAGTATAAGCTTTTGGGTTATTCCTTTTTATGGAGCCTTTGATTATTCCAGGGCTAAAGCCTGGCCGCCGCTCTGCTTTTTTCTGAAATTCATCAGTTGGTTTAGTTTTAGCTTTCTAAAAGCTCCATCAAAGCCTTTTGACCTTTAACCTTTTCCTTTCACTTTTATTTGCCTTGCATAATTGACCCTTTTTTTATTTACTACAGCAAGCATTACGTGTTTATTTACCAAATCATAGGCTTCCTGTGCTGTGAAATTGTATCTGGGGAAGGTTATGTACTACTCTTTACTCAGAAAAGAGTACCACTTCGTTGCTACAGTCGGATGCAGTTTCTGGGGGCGGTTTGGTACGGCTCCAGCAGCTCCGGCTCCGGCTGACACCCTGACATGGAACGCTGTAGCCCGGAGCTGTTTTTCTCTCCACACCTTTTTTCTCTCGCTGTAGCGCGGTTACTGTTCATGGAGCCGGTGAAGCTCGAATTTCCGGCTCCGCCGGCTCCGGTTCTGGAACGGTACAGTGCATACACAGTGTAGAAGCCGAATCTCCTCGTAGCCGTACCAAACGAGCCCACACAGTAGATCAGAACTAACACAGTAGATCAGATCTCGATGCGATCTGCGATCTACGTATCGCAGTGTACCAATGTGGCACGGGCCTACATAAGCTTAAATAAATTATGGATATGTCATAGCACCTTATGCCTGCATAGACTTAATTATGGATATGTCATAGCACCTTATGCCTACATAGACTTAATTATGAATATGACATTGCACCTTATTGTGCTGTAGAACAACCACATGTGATCAGATCATTATTCTGGTTTGAACACCTCAGTAGCCTACAAACTGGTTATATTTATTTTTATCCTACTCTGTTAACAAAATGGTTTGTTACTCCTGCACCCACTTTAAAGGGCGTACTCACAGAGCTCCCGTTCTATGCGGGCTCTGGGTAAGGGAGTTAGTGGCAAGCCTTACTCTCGCCTGTGTAATGCGAGGAGACCGCGACTCAAACCCGAGACCTTCCGGTCACAGGCGGTAAGACTCTACCGCTTGCACCAGACCCGCCCTTCACTCCTGCACCCACTTTAAAAAAGAAAAATCTAATGCGGTAGGAGAAATGTTTGTAAATTACTATTGTGTTTTTGTTTCTGTGATAGTATGATGGGAAATTCAATTTGTTTATTGCAATTGATCAAACATGTTTCTCTTCATCCATGTACTGAATCATGAAACTAATGGTGTATATTCAGCACTGTGCTTGCACGTCCAACTACAATTCTGATATGTTTAATGTTTACCCGAAAAAAGGTTTATTCTGATCTGTTTGTTGATCACGTTACAGTATCTGGCCTGTCCGGGAGTAAAGAGGAGGCACAGAGTCAGGTACTTATCGGAATGGGGCTGCTTGCTGGTTCCACCGTCTTCCTCCTCACCCTGCTTTGGGGAACCTGTGTCGTTGTTGGCAAGTGTGACCTTGGGCCAAACCGTGAGGCAGTTGATTTAACAGACACCAAGGGCTTCAGCTTGACTGGTATAATGCTTTCTCTTATGCAAAGTGTTTTGAATGGAGACCGTCTAATGGTTGTTTATCATGTAATTTTAAAGTAGGACAGTTGAACCACAAAGGTTTCAGTTGTCCATTTCGAAAGATAACAACTAAATAGTCAATCACCAATCCTCGAACAATTGTGTTTGTTCTGCTTCCTTTTTTACTGACTAGCAAAATTGGTGGCAGGCACTGGTATTACAACCGATGTGCAGACCAGCTATGCAGCGCGGATCATGGGGCTATCTGTTATCCCCTTCATCATCGCACAGTTCCCAAAGATGTTGAAGACCCACCACGGGCAGCGCCTAGCTATGTTGCTGGGCCTTATTGTGTCATTCTTGCTCGTGCTTTCCTACTGTCTGTACCAGGTAAATAAAATACATTCTGGCAATTAGCCTCTTGAGATGATAACAGGATTGGCAGTTCTAGATTATAAGGGTAACTTTGACCGTGAAATTGGATCCTCAAATCATGCACCAGGTTTTCCAGCCTTGGATTCAGAGGAGGAAGCTTGCATATGCGAAGCACAAGCACGTGATCTCTGGGATACTGAAGCACGCCCAAAAGCAGGCACTCGGTCGTCTGCTAAACGATGATGGCACACCCAATGAAGACGTCATCAGAAAGTGTGATCCTCTGAACACCTTGTTGTATACGGTAGTTAGGAGCACACTGTTTCGTGGAAATGTCATGAACCTTGTCTTGTGCTGACACGCAGGCTGTTCCACAAGATCGACATGGACGAGAGCCGCTCCCTGTCCCGTGCCGAGCTCCACGCTCTCATCGTCGGTATCAACTTCGATGAGGTTGAATTTGACAGGATGGATGCGGTCGACAAGGTCATGGCCGACTTTGATACGTCCCGCAACGATATCGTTGAGGAGGAGGAGTTTGTGCAGGGGATGAAGAAATGGCTCAATGAGGCTAAGCGCCACATGCCCGTGGGCGGCGCCTTCTCCAGCAAGTTCAATGAATACCATGAGGTAATCTGCTCGCCCTGCAGCCTCCAGTAGCTTAGGAATTGTGCACGGCAGAGCACTGATGCGAATGGAATGGAATCGTGCAGAGGACACGGCAGGAGCACGACCAGCTGATTGACAGGTGCGATGAGGCGGTGGAGAGCGTGGAGAACCCCGGGTGGTGCATCACCAAGGCTGTGGCGCTGCTGCTTCTGGGTGCCGCCATCGCGGCCGCGTTCGCGGACCCCCTCGTGGACACCGTCCACAACTTCTCCAACGCCACGCACATCCCGTCCTTCTTCATCTCGTTCATCGCCCTACCGTTTGCGACCAACTCCAGCGAGGCCGTCTCCGCCATCATCTTCGCCAGCAGGAAGAAGCAGAGGACCTGCTCCCTGACCTTCTCCGAGGTACGTTGTCGTTGTTGTACTTGTACCACACTGCCACTGACAAACACGGCGACTGACGACGCTTCTTCTTGATTCGCAGGTGTATGGCGGCGTAACAATGAACAACACGCTGTGCCTCGGTGTGTTCCTGGCGCTCATCTACTTCAGGAACCTGACGTGGGACTTCTCATCAGAGGTGCTCATCATCCTGCTGGTCTGCGTTGTCATGGCCCTCTTCACCAGCTTCCGGACCACGTTCCCGCTCTGGACCTGCCTCGTCGCCTACATGCTCTATCCGTTCTCGCTGGTCATCGTCTACATCCTCGACTATGTCTTTGGCTGGTCATAGGCTCCTCGAGCGAACACGACCTGATTGGTTCAAGGGAACACCTGGTTTCTAACAGCCGCCGGTGTTTCTGCTGGACCTTATTGTAATTTTGACTCCTGTGAAGCTATCTGTCCAGACTTTCTCATGTGATGTAATCATGTTCTACTTTCTCTATTTCCTTGTATCCAAAGCACGTACTTCATCACACAACAGCTCCACACTCCACTCTCGTGCCACTTGCCTCGGTTGATGTCCATGCATTCACCTCAATCCACGTGTGTTAGAATGATTAAATTTCATACCAAACCACATCAACACACATGGATTGAGATCCATACATGAGCATCCAAATAAGCCCTTAGAAACTCGGCAGGGTTTTGTAAAACGGCTTCATGTTACGGTGTGGACGGGCACGATGGGGAGATCGTAGGGGAGAGTGGAGTAGAAGGCTGGATTGAGAATTAGAGCGCAAGGGATAACGAGGAAGTGGTGCAGCGGGAGGTTCGCCGACGGCAGTGGCAGAATCGCTCGCAGTCACCGTCGAAGGTAACCCGCCCACCTTGGGAGGTTTATTTCTTCTTCGACAAGTCCTATTACAATCTCTAAGTGCCCTTTATAAAATAGGTGCACTACTAACAACCCAAAATAGATTTCCTAAATATAGATTTCCTAAATTTCCTCCCTTTCCTCTCCTAACTTAATCAGCCGAGCCCCTTAGCCACGGCTGGGCCTGGGCCGGCGCCTATACTGATGCCCTACAAAGGCGTCTATAACACTTCCCTCCTCCCCAACAAATAGCTCGTCCGCGAGCTAGAATGTTGGATAGCGCTCCTTGAAGTCATCAATATCTTCCCAAGTAGAATCAGCCGCAGTCCGCCCCTCCCAATGAACAAGGAGTTGCCAGCGACCCCAGTTCAAGCGAGCACGCACCATCGCAGCCGGAGTAGGAATGACACGCCCATGAAGCGTGGATGGAAGAGGAACAATGGCGCCTGGAGGGTCCCCTTCATACTTCTTCAGCAGCGCCACATGAAAGACATCATGAATACGAGCCTTCAGCGGAAGACGCAGACGATAAGCCACGGCGCCCAAGCGCTCAACAATCTGATAGGGTCCAAAGAACCGCGGCCCTAGCTTGGAGGAGGCCGCCAGAGTAATACCAACAGCTATGCGGTGATGAAGGCGGAGCAGCACCCAGTCACCTACATCAAACTGCACAAACCGGCGCTTCTTGTCATGGATCTCCCGCATAGTGTCCTGAGCCAATACCAAACGATCACGGATGTCCAGCAGGAACTGATCGCGGTCACGAAGCTGGCGATCAACAGCAGCCACTCGAGCCGACCCAGGAAGATAGGAAACCATCGACGGTGGAGATCGGCCATACACCACCTCAAACGGCGTAGCGCGCAGGGCAGACTGGTAGGAAGTATTATAACAGAATTCCGCTCAAGGAAGCCACTGCAACCAAGAACGAGGCCGATCCCCCACTAAACAACACAGGTACATAACTATGATACGATTAGTGACCTCAGATTGCCCATCTGTCTATGGATGAAATACGGAACTGCGTAGCAAGGTCACACCAGCTAGCTTGAAAAGCTCCTCCCAAAAATTGCTAGTGAAAACAGTATCCCGATCACTCACAATAGAACATGGAAATCCATGTAGCCGCACAATGTTGTCAAAGAAGGCACGAGCGATGGAGCTAGCTGAGTAGGGGTGACTCAGGGCGATGAAATGCGCCATCTTGGAGAAGCGATCAACCACAGTAAGAATCACGGACTTGCCGCCCACACGCGGAAAGCCCTCAATAATGTCCATGGCGATGTCGCTCTAGACATGTTCAGGAACAGGAAGTGGCTGAAGAAGACCAGCGGGATGCAGGTGTTCGATTTTATTACGCTGACAAATAGCTCAGCCTTTGACATAGTCTTGAACCAGCCTATGCGTGCGTCGGTTGTAGAAGGATGCACGCAGCCTGTGGAGTGTCTTCTGTGAGCCTTCATGACCGGCAGTGTGAGCCTCACGCAATAGCTGCGGCCAGAGCGATGACTCATCAGGAACGAAGGGGCGTCCTTGGTACAATAGCCGACCGTCCACCATCGCCCAGCCGTCGACGCGGTGCCAGCAATGATCTGCGCCTGGAGCTCCTAGGCCTAAGAGTCGCGCCGAATCTCAGTACGCAGGACATCATAGATGGCGAACGAAGGCCCGGAGAGTGCACATGCAGCCATAGGACTGGAGTCCATATCATGGCGTGATAAGGCATTTGCCACCGTATTCAGCTTCCCTGGTCTGTACTCGACTGAGAGGTCATATCCGAATAACTTGGTGACCCAAGTGTGCTGCGGTTTCGTCGTTAACCGCTGGTCGAGAATAAACTTCAGGCTCCAATGATCCGTCCGCACAGTAAAGGCACGGCCCCAGAGATAGGGCTGCCAATGGCGAACTTCCTTGACGAGACCAATCAACTCCCGCTCATAGGCCGGAAGCTTGGCATGGTGGGGCGCCACAGCGCGGCTGAAGAAGGCCACCGCACCATCTCCTTGGTGGAGGACTGCACCAAAACCAGCCCCGGACGCGTCACAGTCAACGATGAAGCGCTTGTCGAAGTCAGGCAGTTGTAGTAGAGGGGCGGACGTCAACGCCCTCTTGAGTGCCAGGAAGGCCTCCTCTGCTGCCGGTGTCCAAGAAAACGCCTCACGTTTGAGAAGCGTCGTGAGGGGTGCAGCCACACCACCATAGCCGGCAATGAACTTCCGATAATATCCTGTGAGGCCGAGAAACCCACGGAGGGCGCGAGCTGTAGTCGACCGCGTCCAAGCTTCCACCGCCTCGACCTTCGCTGGATCCATAGCAACTCCCGCGGCCGAAATGATGTGGCCAAGGTAGCCGACCGAGAGTTCATCAAAGAAACATTTGGAGCGCTTGGCGAAGAGATGGTGCATGCGCATCTACTGCAGCACGGTCCGCACATGCTGCAAGTGCTCTGCCCATGTCGAACTGAAGATCAAAATGTCATAAAAAAATACAAGCACGAAACGACGGATATATGACTTCAAAATATCATTCATAAGTGCTTGGAAGGTGGCAGGCGCGTTGGTGAGACCGAAGGGCATGACGAGGAACTCGAAATGACCGCGATGCGTCCGGAACGCGGTCTTGGCAATGTCGTCCGGGTGCATGCGCACCTGGTGATACCCGCTACGAAGATCGATCTTGGTGAAGAAACGAGCACCCTTCAACTCATCAAGGAGTTCATCAACCACTAAAATAGGAAACTTGTCCTTGATGGTGCTATTGTTAAGAGCGCGAAAGTTGACGCAGAAGCGCCAACTGCCATCCTGCTTGCGGACGAGGAGCACCGGGGAGGAGAACGGTGAAGTCGACTCCCGGATGATCTCTTGCTGCAACATATCATCGCACCGCCGCTCAATCTCGTCCTTGAGGAGCTGTGGGTAGCGGTAGGGCCCCACAGCCACCGGTGGGGAGCCAGAGACGAGGTGCATATGGTGGTCATGGCATCGGCTTGGAGGCAACCCGCGTGGCTCCTCGAAGATGTCTACATAGGACAGCAGCAGCTCCAATATAGTTCGGGGATCGGCGATAGCATGGGCAGCCAACGCCTTGCTGCCCAGGTCGGTCCAGCTGTGAGCACGCCCTCGGTACCAAAAGGCAATCGAGAGGGCGTCGAAGTCCCAAACAATGGGCCCCAAAGAGCGCAGCCACTGAACACCGAGAACCAAGTCAAAGCCGCCCAAGTCGAGGGCGACACAGTCGATGGAGAAGGGTTCCTCGTAGATGAGAACCTCCGTGGCAAGGCACACGCCGGGGCTGCGGACACGATCACCATTCGCGACCAACACGGACAGTCCATCACGTGACAAGACTGGCAAGCCCAGGCGAGCGGCCACCTTCGTATGGATGAAGGTGTGCGTGCTGCCGGTATCAACCAATGCTTTGAGTGGAACACCCGCGATCGTCACCTGTAACATCATAGAAATAGCATGGCCGAGGCCAGTCAATGCGTGCAGGGAGATCTCCAAGTTAGAGATGTCATCGCCGAGCGGGTCCTCCTCGCCTTCCTCAAGCTCCATGAGGAAGACGCCCTTAGCCGCACACTTGTGATCCTTGGAGTACGGTTCCGGGCAGAAATAGCACTGCCCGTTCTACCGCTTCTCTTGCATCTCGGCCAGTGTCAGACAGCGAAAGCCAGAACGTGTCCCTTCTGTCTTGTCGTCCTACAGATCAGCAGCAGAGCCCGTTGCACTGGTCGAAGCCAAGGCACGGCGAGTGGATGACTTCAGTGGTGCCGAGCTGTTAACGGTGGAGGCCTGCTCTTGCCGCTGTTCATAGGCCCACGCTAAGCTCATGGCCTGCTGCACATTGATAGGGTGTTGCAGCTCCAAATCAGCAGCGAGCGACTGTCCCAAGCCACCGGTGTAGAGATCAATGGTCGTCCGCGTGGAGAGGTTGTCGCAGCGTGAGAGCAGTGCGAGGAAGCACCGCAAGTACTCCTCCACGGTGCCCGTGCGGACCAGGGCCTTGATCTCGCCAACAGAGTTGGTGCGGATGGGTGGCCCGAAGCGAAGGTTGACGAACTCGACGAAGCGTGGCCAAGAGACCATCCCAAAGTCGCGCTCCATCTGATAGTACCACTCGGCTACGATGCCATCCAGATGCAATGACGCCATCCACACCTTCTCATCCTCTGGCACACGATGCCCGCGGAAGTAGTTGTCACACTTATTGAGCCAATTCAACGGATCCGCCTCTCCATTGAAGCTGGGAAACGGAATTTTGGGTGGGCGATGAGGCTCCCGGCGGCCTTCGACGTTGCCTTGATGACGGTCGCCGCGGTTGAAGAGACGGTAGTCGCGGCCTCCGCGATCGAACTCCTGGCCGCCCCTGTCCCAGTCGAAGCCGCGATCGAACTCCCGGCCACCCCTGTCCCGGTCGACCACAGAAATCGCGGATGAAATCACGACCACGGTCATGGTCGTAGCCGCCGCGGTCAC